CCTCCTTCTTCTTCTTCTTCTTCTTCTTCTTCTTCTTCTTCTTCTTCTTCTTCTTCTTCTTCTTCTTCTTCTTCTTCTTCTTCTTCTTCTTCTTTTGTGTGTTTTTGAGACAGGGTTTCTCTGTGTAGTTTGGATGCCTCTCCTGGATCTCACTCTGTAGATCAGGCTGGCCTCAAACTCACAGAGATCCACCTGTGTTCCATTCACCTGTACTTATTGCTTTATTTGTGCCATCTCCAAAGAAGTGACAGTTTGGACTTAGATCTACTGATGTTTCAGTTCCTAAGCAAAGGTAGTACACTGAGCCTGTCAGGAAACCCTCTGTCCCTATTCTAGAGACAGAGACAGACACTAGGGATCAGATGGGCTACTTCAGCTCCTCAGTGCAAGTCAAACCTTGAACAGACGGTGGTGTTGAAAACAGGAAACACCTGAAAGTACTTCACCTGACCACCATGCCCCAAACAGTGGTTCCCTAGCTCCTGCCTCCCTGAGCAGTTGGTCCCTACTCAGCCCATTCAGGATCATTTACCTTTGCACAGTACCCTCCCATTTCTTTAGCTGAGTTGGTCTTTGCTTCTAACTAAAGAAAAAAACCCAAACTCCCATAGGTTGGAGGGGTCCTGATGTAGGAGAGGCTGAGTAGGACTTCTCAACATCCTCCTAGTACCGTGGCACTCTGTTCTCACCAGAGTCTCCTCTGCCATCTCCTTCATTTGATTACATGAATATATTGTTAACTAATTTTTTTTGATAAATGAAGGAAGAAGAAAAGATTGGGGGAGAGAAGTGGTAAGGAGAGACAGAAAGGAAGAGAGAATGGAAATATATGTAGGTCAGAACTTTCTCCCTCTTGGAAAGTGAACAGCTCTCTCCCAAATTTCCCAGAGTCCACTTATATGAACTCAGTAATCCAGCCTTCCACTACCTGTGTGTATGTATTTGTGTGTGTGTGTGTGTGTGTGTGTGTGTGTGTGTTCTCTTATGTGCTTGTGTTGTTCTTTCTGCTGGAAAGAGCTATTCTGAAACAAGATCTTGTTGAATTCTTCATTTTCTCCTCCCCAGTACATGGGTCCTGGGTCCTAACCTAATATATATGGAGAAGATGTCAATTGGCTGACAAGAAGGGCCTCCAAATCTCAGAAGGCCTGATTTGATCCCTCATGGATTCACTTGATGGAAGGAGATAATCAATTCTTACATGTTTTTCTATGATCTCCACACCTACTACACATGTACACACAAAAACACAAATTAATTGATTAAAAAAACTTGGAGACAAAGACATGAGAGGCAGTTTATCTGGTATTATTGACTTTAATTATACATTGATAGTGGCATACTAAAAAGATTCCTTTTGAATGGTAATTTAGAATTAAAATTTGATAATTATTTAAGATTAGCCATATTCCCAAGATCTTTGTGTCTTGTTTGTTTGGACCAAATGCCATAATGGTCATTGTGTGATGTGGAGCAGTGAGTTCCACTTCTCCTGTAAATTGATTTACATCAGTTTGAGATCATTTGGCCTTGGACTATGCCTCAGGTTCTTTTACCATAAAATAAGGGGAAAAAATACCTCAAAAATGGTTCATAATAGACCTGGCCACAGTAGTTGGCAAGTCCTTATTCAAATTCTATAAGTAATTTTTTAAGTTTCATAAAGTATACTGAATGGATTTGGACAATATCTGCCTAACCATGCTCTTATTTTTAGATACTGATTAGTGTAGCTGGAAGATTTCATGTGTCTTGGCTTGCTGGTGGTCGGGACAAATCTCTCCCACTTGCATCCCCCAAGTAAACACACAGAGGCTTATATTAATTATTAAGCGCATGGCCATGGCTCAAGGTTTTTGCTAGCTAGTTCTTATATCTTAAATTAGTCCATTACTACTAATCTGAGTATTGCCACATGTTCCTTGGCTTTACCTGCATCCCATTACATGTTGCCCTTGGCTTGCTGGTGGCTCTTCCAGCCTTCTTCCTGTCTCTTTATTTGAATTTCCCGCCTGCATCTAAGCTGCCTTGCCATAGGCCAAACGGCTTTATTTATCAATGAATCAGAGCAACACATATTTGCAGCATATAGAAAGATATTCACCCATCAGATTAGGTTCATTATTTTACTGTTCAAGTATAAATCTTGAAGGGGACTTTTCATTATATTTAGACTTATTCTTTACATTGATTCTTTCAGCTAATTTAGATTTATTCCTTATATTGATTCCAGAAGTAGAATGATGTGAAAAAGAAATTGTATGACTCTGGATGCATAGTTAAATACCTTTCGAAAAGGCAAAGCCAGGCTGGATATGATGGATCATGCTTGGAGGTCAGTCAGCCTGGGTTATTCAACAAGGGTCTGTCTCAAAAACCTTGGGAAAAATAATAAAAAGTAAAACCAACTTATATCCCTACTGATAACATAAGTTTTCAAGTCATCCATAGGTGCTGTGGAATAATGCTTTTGTACACTGGTTTAATAAAACACTGATTGGCCAGTAGCCAGGCAGGAAGTATAGGCAAGATAAGCAGACAAGGAGAATTCTGGGAAGAGGAAGGCTGAGTCAGGAGATGCCATCCCACCGTCTAGGGAGCAGCATGTAGTGGCACACAGGTAAAGCCACGGAACACATGGTGACATATAGAGTAATAGAAACAGGCTGAGTTTAAGTGTAAGAGCTAGTCAGTAGTAAGCCTGAGCTAATAGCCGAGCAGTTTTAATTAATATAAGCTTCTGTGTGTTTACTTGGGTCTGAGTTCCTGCAGACCTGGTGGGACACAGAAAACCTTCCAACTACATATGGGTCTCACTATATAGCCCTGGCTGGCCTGGAACTGGCAATGTAGATCAAACTAGCCTTGAACTCACAGAGATTTGACAACTTCTTCTTCCCAAGTGCTAGGATTAAAGGTGTGTGTGTGTGTGTGTGTGTGTGTGTGTGTGTGTGTGTGTGTGTGTGTGTGTAACTTTCTAGGAACATTTTACACAGCTTTTTAACATTGGTAAATTTGATAGCTCCTACCTAATTCTTATATTTCTGTTATTTCTTGTTATGAGTCACCTACCCTGTCAGCAAAGGTTTTCTAATCAGCCATTCTGCTTACCAAGTTTTAAAATGTCCCTTAAAATACCGCAGAACTTTTGCTAGCACATAGTCAATGACATTTACGCTCTCAGCACTTTCTTCAGAACTCTGGAGTGAGAAGTTAGAGGAAGGCAGAATGCTTGAGTCTACCATCATGTCATCCTGTTTGGAAGAATTTCCTCCACGAATGCTTGGAATTGCCTGAAGAAAAAGAAGAAGAAGAAGGATTATAGAGTAAAAAGTTTTCCATATCCTACTACACATTCAAAATTAATAACTCAGGCCAGAGTTCCAGGAAAGGCGCAAAACTACACAGAGAAACCCTGTCTCAAAAAACCAAAACCAACCAACCAAACAAACAAAAAACCACAGGCCAATGAAATGGACCAGTGGAGAAGGATGCTTGCTGCTGAACTCGACAATTTGAGTGAGGTCCCTAGGCCCACATGATGAGAGGAAGGAACCCACTCCTACAAGTTGCCCTTTGACCTCCATGCACATAAGGGCACCACTTATCTCCAAGAGGAATCAGAAAACCCAAGTGAGCTGATGAAATGTTTAATGAATATTATTGTTTATCCTATTGACATTAATGTAGAACGCCAAATTTTGTAATTTTCCTAAGAAATTTACACTTTATGGTTTTATGTGTGATTTTGGCAAGAACTAATCAAGTAGCATGTACATTGTATTCTCTCTCTCTCTCTCTCTCTCTCTCTCTCTCTCTCTCTCTCTCTCTCTGTCTCTCTTTTGTCTGGTTTGATTTAGTTTTGAAAAAGAGTCTCACTACATATTTTGGGTGACCTCAAACTCACAGTCCTGCCTCATCTCTGAGTGTCACACTTACAGGCATGTGCTACCGTACCTGGCTTAATTAGTCTCTTAGTAAATTCCCAAGTGCATATAATGTATTTTAAAAAACATTTTGATGGAACTAAACTTTAAATTCAATTTGATGTAGTCTTAACAGAACTATTTAAGAAATGCTTTTCAATAAATTCCTCTACCAAAAATATAAAGGACAAATTAAAATAACAAATTTAATAGTTCTATTTTTTGTTTGTTTGTTGTTGTTTGAAACAGGGTCTTGTATAGTTCTGGCTGGCCTTGGGCTTGCTATATAGCTAAGGATGACCTTGAACTCCTGATCCTCCTACTACCATTTCCCAAATGCTAGGATTATAAGTGCATGCCACCATACCTGGCTGCAATTCCAGTTTACAAGGGAATAGTCTGAGTAACTTGTTCACTTACTTGCCTTTTAGTAAATATAATGCATATAGGAAACTCCATAAAACATTTGTGCCTAGTCTAATACATAATTGTATAGTAAACTGTAAATAAGAAGGGGCCATAACTTTCTTATTTGTTAGAATTTGTGAAGTACACAAGGCTTCTTTTCAACACTTGCAGGTCTATGATTTGCACTTTGCTGTCCACGATGAAATAAGGGCTGCTTTGAGAAGAATGGCTTGTACAGGCAACTCTTTATAGTTTAGCAAAGTGGCTGGGTCCACTGATTCTGGAGCAAAACCCACTCTGCTTCCCATAATGCTCACTCTGTGTGAGCTGATACAATCTGTCTTCTGTGCCTCCTCTGAAAATTGGGGAACACAGTACTCTTACCTGCTGTGGTTTGGGTGTGATTTATCCCTTTGAAAACTCATGCTGGAATTTGATTCTCAATGTATTGTTACTGAGAGATATTGGAGCCTTTAGGAGGTGATGAGATCTCACTGAAGTGAGTTACATCTAGAAGCACCGTGTCAGTTATTATAAGCACGGGCTGTAGGTTGTTAGGAGGCAAATCTGGCACCTCCCCTCTTACCACTCCTCAGTCTCTCTCACACAAGCTCTACTTCCACACTGCTGGCTTCTCCTTCCTAGCATGCACAGAGCAACACATGACTCACTCCAGAAGCTAAGAAGGTGATCTTGGACTCCCCACTCTCCAGAGTTGTGAAGTAAATAAGCCTCGTTTCTTTGAAAATTGCTCAGTCTTCCATTTTTTGCCTCCCTTCCTTTTCATCCCATCTGCCTCACGACCTGTGGTGCTAGCAATGGAGCCCAGATCTTCACACACACGGGGATGGGGTGGGACAGTCGTGTTATGCAGCCCTAGCTAGCCTGGTACCTCTTACATAGCCCAGCCTGAACTTGAACTCTCTGAAATTCTTCTGCCTTGGCTTCTAGCTGCTGAGATTACAGGTGTGCACCACCACACTGGGCTTGTTTTGATTTCTTGAGACAGAGTCTTCCGTGATTGAGGCCAGCCTTGAACTCCTGATCTTCTTGTTTCCACCTCTTAAAGTGCCGAGAAGATTACATACAGGCATTTGCCACAACACTTTTAATGTGTTTATCATGAGTAGCTAAACTTAGTTTTCAAACTACGCTACAATTTGCAGATTGACACAGACCACAAAACGTTAGATTCCCTAAAAATAGGCTGAGGTCCCAATGTGAGTTGATTACTAAAGGGATCCTCTCAGGTAAAACTTTTAGGAGGATTAGGAAAGCAACCTGGGGGTCTGGAGAGATGGCTCAGTGGTTAAGAGCACTGGCTATTCTTCCAGATGGACCCAGGTTTAATTCCCAGCACCCACATGGCAGCTCACAACTGTCTATAATTCCAGTTCCAGGGAATCCAACAGCCTCACACAGACATTCTTTTCTTTTTTTTCTTTTTTGGAGTTGAGGATCGAACCCAGGGCCTTGCACTTGCTAGGCAAGCCCTCTACCACTGAGCTAAATCCCCAACCCTCACAGACATTCTTACACGCAGAACACCAATGCACATAAAATAAAAATAATTCTTTTTAAAAAGGAAAGCAACCTGGAAAAAAAGGGGGATGCTGAATAAAAACATTGCTACAATCCACCTCTAGCTGCACCTGGATCCAGCAGAGTTCTAAAACACAGTGGCTAGACCAGGAGCTGGTAACAGGAACCCAAGATGATTGACCTTGATGTCAACTTTATTGGGGCTGGAATCAACTAAAAGATGTGCCTCTTGATGGGTCTATGATAATATTTCCTGGACAGATTAATTGTAGGGGGAAGACCCTCCCTTTGAGTGGGTGGCACCTTCCTGCAGCTGCCCTCATATGATGAGATCTGAGGGGAAGACTGTTCCCTTTCGCCTGCCTGCCTTCACTCCCTTCTGGTGAGTGCATCCGCCCTATTGCTGCTGCTCCTGCCCACACTGCAGCTGCCACAGCCACTGCTATCCTCTGCTGACATCAAAACCCAGCTGCTTTAGCTTCCTGTGTGGAAATCCAGGAGTCCTCCATGCCTTCAACACTAGAAGGATGCTGCTGAGGTGTCTATCCTAGTGGACTGAGTAGCTACCGGTTCTCAGCCTCTTGAATATGCAGACCACCATTGTTAAACTACCTAGAGCATATCATGTAAGTCAAATTAATAAATCTCCTTTGTAATATTTATTTGCTCTATCGTTTCTGTTTCTCTCGAGAGCATCACACACTACACAGAGCATTGCATATTTAGTTGGCTATGCCCCGTGCTTCTTGTACCCTTCTATCTCAGTGCTAACCCCACAGGAATCAATGTAGCACTTATGTATAACTAAGGAGATGTGTGTGTGTATGGTCATAGGCATGTGTGGCTCAGAATGAAAAGCCAGCTGTTGCTTTATGCAGCAAAGAGTTAATGATCAAATGTGGGAGCCATAGCTTAGGTGCGGTTTAAGATGACAGTATGTTTTTAGATGGTATTTCATTTTAAAACCCTTTTAGGTCTACTTTATGTGTATGGATGCTTTGCCTACATTATGCCTGTGTACCAAGTGCATGTGCATGCCTGATGCCCGAGGAGGTCAGAAGAGGGTGTCAGATCCCCAGGAACTGGAGTTATAGATGATTGTGAGCCACCACGTGCTTCCTAAAAACCAAACCTGGATCCCCTGTAAGAACAACAAGTGCTTTTAACCACTGAGTCACAACTATTTAATTCTCCAGCTCTGATATTTAATTTTTAAGGTGCCTTAGTTTATTACATGAAAAATAATTAAGTGCTATAATTTACTTTTTAAAAAACTATGGCATCTCACTGGCTTTACAGACAAATATTTTAAGGTGGCTTCCAGTGTTCCCGTCTCACTGGAAAAACTGAGGCCTAGAAAGGTTAAAGACCTTTTTCAATCTTTCTCAGTTGTTAAGTTTTAGAGTCTAATTTGGATTTTTTTATTTAATTTGCGAATATGGGTATTTTGCCTAAATTTATGTCTGTACATCACATGCGTGCCTGGTTCCTAAGGAAGTCAGGAGAGAGTATCAGATCCCCAGGAGCAGTAGTGAAGGAAGGTTGTAAACCTCCTTATGGTGCTGGGAATCAAATCTGGTGCCTCTGCAATAACAGAAATGCACTTAGCTTCTGAGCCATTTCTCCAGCCCCTGATGTCTAATTTTGAACTCTACTTTACCTACAAGTCTTCTTTCTTAAGTCTATATTAGCCAGTTCAAGGTGTCACTATCATCTACAACCCTATAACTATGGGAAGAATTAGTCATTTTAGATTAAAATACTTTCATATTTTATTACCTCATCCCCCTCAGTATAAGGACCCAGAAATGCTAGGCAAATCCACCACTAAGACACACTTCTAGCCCTTTATAAGTTTTTATTTTGTTATATTCTGAGACAGGGTCTCACTAAGTTGTCTAGGCTGGCACAGAGCTCATTATGTAGCCCATTCAGGCCTTGAACTAAAGATCTTCCTACCTCAATCTTATGGGTAGCTAATGTAAAAGATTGAGCCATCTTTCTAGACCATTAACTGCATTAAGTTAAGCAGGCTTGGATGCAATCACAATGGAGTAATGTGTATTCCTCTGGAACTTGTTTTCAAATTCAGCTGTAATCAGTAAGTAACTAGCAGAATAGAGGTAGCACGTGTTATTTCTGCTCTGGGGTCCTTACCTTTGTTAAATTAAAGATGTCCTCTGTCATTGGGTTATGGCTTGCTAGTTGAGATACCCATCCAAACTGCTCTCGCATCTTTTCCATCAGATATGTGGTGTCTTCCAGATGATACTGGGCCATCCAAACAATCTGATCATATTGCTGATTAGATAAATTGACTAATTTCAGGGCCTCAAGGAATTCTATGTGTAGTTCAGGTACATCAGGGCAGTCTATAAAGGAGGTAAAGAAATAATGAAGAAGCAGTCCAGGAAACTTGAAAGTGGATGGTGTGAGCTTAAGACCCAGAGCTCTTAGTTAATGCTTGTTGTTTGTAGTAAGTAATGTTGCCAGCATCACTTTCAAATGAGACCTGGCTTAATTAATTGTTAATTATATGGTTTTATGGAGCAGAAGTGGATGAATAAAGAAAAGACATTCTTGTTAAAAATCTTACATGCCGGCTGGGCAGTGGTGGTGCACGCCTTTAATCCCAGCACTTGGGAGGCAGAGGCAGGTGGATCTTTGTGAGTTTGAGGCCAGCTTGATCTACAGAGTGAGATGCAGGAAAGGTGCAAAGCTACACAGAGAAACCCTGTCTCAAAAAACCAAAAAAACAACCAACCAACAAACAAAAAAACCCAAAAAAAACCTCACATGCCTACTGCCTATATTTTAAGGGGACAGTGTTTGAGGTGTGTCTCAGGACTAGACTGGACAGTGCAAAGTCCTGTTAACCATTAGCCCTTCTCCCAAAAAAACTTGACTAAAGCAGAAGCCTCTGCTTTGTCCTTTCCACAGCATTCTCTCCATCCCGTCAAAGGGGGAAACTTAAACACATAAACACAATACAAGTGGAGGTGTGAGTAAAAAGAAATCTTTATAGTAAATTTACTTAAGATTGGGACAAAATGAATAGTAAAACAGTGAAAATCATAGCTAGTGATGTTTGGAAAAACATTTTGTCTTACATGTATCAAGTATGATATTATAATTATAGCTATGGGATTACTCATAGAATAATTAATTGATAAAATGTATGACAGTTGCCTTTGTTTTGTTTTTGGTAAGGGGGGGATGGGTTCTCACTTGATAACCCAGGTTGGCCTGGAACTTGGCTATGCCAATCAGATTGGTCTTGGTCTTGAAATTCCTATCCTCTTAACTCTGTCTCTCAAGTTCTGGGACTACAGGCATATGAACTACTATGCCCTCCTCAAATAGTTTTCTGCTTCTGTGTTTTGTAATAGCAGAACTTTGAGGAAAATAAAACAAAACAAAACTTAAGGCACTGTCTTGGTTAGGGATATTATTGTTATTAAACACCATGACCAAAAGCAATTTAGGGAGGAAAGACTTTATTTGGCTTACAATTCCACATCACTGTTCATCATTGAAGTCAGGATAGGAACTCACAGTGGGTAGGAACCTGGAGGCAAGAGCTGATGCAGAGATCATGGATGCTTACTGGCACCCTATAGCTTGCTCAGCCTTCTTTCTTAGAGAACCCAGGACCACCAGCCCAGAAGTGGCCCCAGTGGGTTGGGTGCTCCCCTCTGCACTAATTTAGAAATTTCCCTGGAGGCATTTTTTCTATTAAGGCTCACTCCTCCTTGATGACTCTAGTTTGTACCAAGTTGACATAAAACTAGCCAGTACAGGCATTCAGCTAGAGAATGGATAAATTGTGATATTCCAACACAGACCAATATACAATGATTGAATTAATGAATGTGAGTAAAATATTTTTCACTTGGATAAATCTTACAAACTAGACCGAGTGACATAATCACTAACATATTAAGACAAATTATACAGGGCTATGGGTAATAATCCCATATAACCCCAGCATTTAGGAGACAAGGCATCTAGCTCTCTCTGAGTTTGAAGCCAGCCTGGTCTACATAGTGAGTTCTAGGCCAGTCAGGACTACAGAGTGAGGCTCTGTCTCAAAAATAAAGAGAGGATATTCAGAATTTGGAAATACGGCAAAATAACGCTGCATGCTCTTCCAATGCTGTTGTTTAAGACTCCCTCTTCATGTCTCTAGGAAAATGATCCTTTGTTGGGTTTATAGTATTGAATAATGCTAGACTCTATGATACTAGATAGATGAAAATTATGGATTGAAGAGTTTTAAATTGCTTTTTCTAGCAAAGATGTGAATGGTTTTTCTAATAATAATTATAATTACAAAGATTATACTCTTGTATACAAACTAGCTATACGCCTAGTTTTGCATTCTTATTTCAGCATTCTATCCTTGGTTACAAGTACCTAGCTCTTTGATTTTGGTGGGGATGGGGAGGTTGTTGGTTTGTTCATTTGTTTTGAGATAGGGTTTCACTCTGTAGTCCAGGCTGGCCTGAAACTCTGGCTGGACTAGAAGTAGTGGGTTCAGTTTATTTATGTGACTTTTAAAAAAAATTTTCATTTGCTTTGTGCTGTCCATGAGAAAACTCATGATTTTCTAGCCTTAGCCTCCTAAGTGCTGGGATTACAGGTGTGTGCCACCGTACCTGGTTCATCAGTAATAGTTTAGATTTAAAATTACAACTTGCAGATGTAAAATTTTCAAACATAAAACACTGTTAAGTATGGTGTATATATGTGTGTAATGTGTACGCATACATGCATATAGTATATAAGTAAATATGTAAAAATAAAGACATAAATACTAAACCTAAATTAGTCATTTGCATCTACTTTTTTTTTTTGAGACAGTGTTTCACTATGTAGATGAGGCTGGCCTTGAACTCACAGAAAGTCACCAGCTGGAGCTTCCAGAGTGCTGGGATTAAAGGCCTGACTCAGCACACCTGGCTGCTGACCTTGACCTCTTCTCCTCCTGTGTTGATGGGATTATAGGTGTGTACCAGCACACCAGTTCTGCAATTCTGGGGATGGAACCTAGGCTTTTGTGCATGCAAATGAAGTGCTCTACTGGGTTGCATCTCCAGCCACCCCACCCCCCGTTTCCTTCATTTACTTATTTTTTGTCTTGGAGCAGGGTTTTATTAACTGTCTTTATAGAGCAGTCCAGCCATCACATGCAGCTGCTGGGACTCTGTTATGCTGGACGGCTCTAGCTGGGGCACTGCACGTGGCCCTGGTCCTCTCCATTTCCTTTTGAGGGGATAAAAGGAATGTGACCTGGAGGAGTGACATGGTTAGGTTTCATCTGCTTTAGTAATGTTTAATCCTTACTGTAGGTGGTGGGTACATGGAGTTTCGTTATTCCCTCCTTTATATTTTTGAAATGAATTGCTTTTTAAAAAATACATTTCAACAGTATGGGAATCACATTGGGACATCTGTTCCCTCCTATTTTATCTCTGTGACAAACAATTTATATTGCACATTTGCTGCATTACCTGATATATGCCACATCTATTAATTCCTATAGTTAGGATCTAGAATATTTTCCAAAGACCTAACTAAGACTTAAAGGCTTGATCCCTAACCTAGAGGTAATGGAAACTGTAGGAGGTGGGGCCTAGTAGAAGGCCTTTAGGCCATTGGACCTAAAGGGCTCTTTCTTTCTCCTTTTCTCTCCTTATTCATGAGGAAAGCAGCTTTGCCCTTCCACCGTGTTGGGCTGCCTCATCACAGGCTCAAAGCAACGGGCCCAACCAATCACAGACTGAAAATCTCAATTATATAAACCAAAGTAATCTTTCTTTCTCTGTAAGATAATTTATGTGGTTATTTTTAATGGCAGTGTGTTGTGGAATATTATTTTACCTAGCAAAGATGTGTGACATTTCTTTGTGCTGAAGAATAGTATTTTAACTGTATAAAGGTTATGTTACTTTTGTTTATGCTGCATTTGTTGAGTTATGTAAAGATGTGTTGCATCTGTTTCACCTTGCCTGCCTAAGGCACCTGGTTGGTCTAATAAAGAGCTGAAAGGCCAATAGCTAGGCAGAGAAAGGAGAGGCGGGGCTGGCAGGCAGAGAGAAAGAATACACAGGAGGAGAAATCTAGGCTCAAGAGGAGGAAGAAGAATGAGAAAAGAGAGAATGAGGGAGACCCCAGGGCCAGCCAGCAGACATGAGAAGCAGCGAAAGTAAGATCTACAGGAAGAAGGGAAAAAGCCCCGAGGCAAAGGGTAGATAAAGAGAAACAGGTTAATTTAAGTTAAAGAGCTAGCCCGAAATGTGCCTAAGGCAGGACAAGCATTCAAAACTAATAGTCTCTGTGTCGTGACTTGGGAGCTGGTTGGTGGCCCAATAGGAAGAGCCTGGTACAGTAAAGTGAAGCTAGCACACATAGAGAGCAGTTATCAGATACATTTATACTACGTGACTCACTTTATCTGCGACAATTGGGGAGAAATTAATAGGTGGCAGGAAATACATGTAAAAAGTATATAGATGGGGTGCTTGAGTGGGATGGCTTTTGCAAGTTATCAGTTCATTAGTTCATACTGTGTATATATGGGGTGGTGGTGGGGGGGAGTGGTATTCACACGTTTGTGAATCATGAGAAGGCCAGTGGTCAATCTCAAGGATCATCCTCAGGAGCCATCTACTTTCTTTTGTTGTTACTTTGTTTTGAGACAGGGTCTTCCACTCGAACCTGGGGCTGGCCAGTTGGGCTAGGCTGGTTGACTAGTGAGCCCAGGGCTCTGCCTATCTGTGTTTCACAGTGCTAGGATTAGCACTATGCCCAGCTTTTTACATAGGTGCTGGAGATTAACCTTAGGTCTTGCTTGTACAACAACTATTCTGCCAACAACGGAGCTATCATTTCTTCTGTGCACAATCCTGCAAGTGGCTTTTACAATGTTTGAATAGTAAAAGTCACTGATACTTTAGGCAATAGCTTAGTGCACAAAAGACCTGTATGAAGTGGATCTGTTACCCCTATTTTTAAATGATGAAACAACATCTCATTCACCCAGTCAACAGTTCAGGGGGAATAAACTTCACCAGCTTTAGGTAACCAAAGTTTCAGGAATGTGGGACACAGTAGTTTATAATCAAAACTATGAAAATACTATCTCCCAAAAGTTATCCCATCAAGACAAATTGTAGATGTCAAAATTTTCTGACACAAATTCTAAGGTGGGGTAGACATTGGTTGAAGGGGAATGTGCAGAAATAGGTAAACACATTTAGTTAATGGATATTTTTTTTTCCTAAAAGAGGGGCTGCTCCTGTGAAGTTCATTGAAGAGGAAAGGGGATGAAACAGAGAAGAAAGAGAGAAACAAAAAGTATTCTCATTCT